GAAACAGCTACATTCTTGTGCAGACTGGCAAGGTTCTTGCTAAAACAGCACACCAACTATCTGTACAACTGGAAAAACACCAGCGGCGCTCATGTTCGGCCGCAAACTTTGTACAGCGCTCACACGCCTACAGTCCCGCGTGCCGAAAGAGCCGGCATCGGAATGCCGCAGAGAGAAATCACCTAGAGACGTTACAGTAGGACAATCCGTCTTTGTCCGCAACTTCGTTGGAAACCCTACTTGTATTAAAGGAACCATTATGAAGAGACTGGGACACCGCTCGTGGCTGGTGAAGTGCGAGAAGGGAACGGTTCGTCAACACCTGGATCAGATTAAACTCGACATCGCGCAATTCCAGCAAGGAACCGGTGACAAGCCATGTTTTGGCTCCATATGTTCTACAGACGGACTTCCCAGCATCGCCAGAATCCAATCGACCTCCAGTGCCCGAGTCCCAAGATGGAGCTGGCGCGCAATCTGACCCGTGCGACACGGTACCTGCCGACCAGCGGGAGTGCGAGTCAGCGCCAGTTTCCACTGCGGTGCCAAGACCCCAGCGCGAACGGCGTCCCCCGGACTGCTATGGTGACTCAATCTGAGGAGGAAGGGATGTTGTGTATAATATGAGCAACATTCCGCCGCTTTGTGGAACTCCCTGCGGCGCCACTCGGGCGCTTACGTAATGCAACGTCCCGCCGCCACGGCATCCGGAGATCGCGGGTTACCCGAGCCACCCGTGACGCAAGCAGGCTGGGCCGTACAAATATTGTGGGAATAAAAGCAGTTCATACTCAGCCACCGATGGTAGTAGACTCCCTCTGTATACGGGCCGAGACGCCCAACTTAGCAAAGGGCAGCTTTTCATTCTGGATCCTCAAAAAGGTTTTTCTATGCAATTGAAAGTTCTTCAGAGCCCTCAAGGTCTTTTCCCAAAGTCTCTCAAAACCCTGTAACATGCGTAATTATGATTCACTGATTGACTGACCAGTCTTGTTGGAGCCAAATCTTTTGTAAAGACCTGTATGCTGTATTGTGATATGCTGCCATAGAACGATTTGGTTAGTGCAACTAGCTAGCTAGGCTTTCTTATGCGCACCACAAGACCATAATGAAACCAAGTTGGTGGAGTGTTTGTACACATTGAAACTAATAGGGCTCATAATCAGCCTCTTTATACTATTGTCAACTGACCCGAATGCAAAAGGAAAGACAGAGGAATGAGAGGAGGACGGATGACATCGGACTCCGGAATAGTTTCCAGATGGCAGATGTAGAGCAGTGGAGAGACACTGTGCGGGTGATTTTGTTTAACTGGTTATAATTTCCTACTTATGTGTATGTTAATTTGAGAGTTAATAATGAGAATAATAAACTACAGTAATCCCTCGTTATAGCGAAATCGCTTTTTTCAAATTGTCTTCATCAAAGTTCAACGTTGTGCCAACTGAAATGCACGCATATTGAAACGAATTATTCGAAGTGTATCGGCGACCGACTACGCTCATTACGAAGGCCGCGGCGCCAACAGCATGCAAGCCCACACGGAGGAGCACGGGAGACCCTTGCATTCCCTCCCCCTTCTCCACCGAGGCAAACAGCAAACTGGGAAAACGGAGTAAATGGCTGACAGAGGGCAGAGTGCGCAGAGCTGGCAGAGCGGCGCTTCCGATGCCGACGCAAGACGCGGGCAGGGAGCAGCATCAACATTCCGACGCTACTTGCAGCACCTGCGGCCGACGCTGCCCGTCTCCTGTCGGAATCATGTCAAGGGAGCGACGGAGCCCAAAAGAAATTATTCGTTTGAGAGCCCCCGACACGCGAGCCTGCGGCGTGCTACACGCGCACGTGTGTTGTATGGGAGATTAGGATTGTTTACCGAAAGTCGCTTGAGGTTGAGAAAAGTGGCCGGCCCAAATTCGAAATTGCCAAAGAATTTGACATTCCGGCATTGGCTGTTTGACACTGTCCACCATTTTGCAGAATAAGCAAGGCATATTAGACGGGTTCAAGAATTTCATGCGAGAGAAAGCGCGCCCCGCGACCCGAAGATGGAAAATCGCCAACTGCTTCGTGCACGTCGGATTTTTTCTCGTGAGCATGCTTGCCAAGCCGGCGCACGATTTTCATAGCTGCAATGATCTCTACAGGAGTGTGTTAAAACATATTGGCAAAGCCACTGAGGATAACTTTGATTTGTTTACGCTTTTGATGCGAACGTTCCCGTTGTTGCCCCTGCCACAGATGCTGCAATCGTAGGCCTTGCGTGCGGCCAAGGTAAACACACAGCGACCTCTGAGAGGCACTTCAGGAAACGCCGACAACTGCGGAGACGCGAAACATCCTATGGCTGCTTCGAAACAAAGTGGAGTGCAGTGGCGGTGACAGTGTTCTTGCGATGCCTGGAGCACAGGATGTCAACCAATTGGAAAAACCTGGAATTCTTAAGGATTTTGAATAGTCTGGAAAAACTCGGGGAATTTCTGCATCTATCAAAAAATATTTTTTAAAGTTTTTTTTTTTTTTTTAGTTTTAAAAGTGTTACAGATTTAAAAGTGCCACAGATTTAAAAGTGCCGCAGATGGACTCTCAGTCCAAAATTCTTCAGATATCACTGGAATGGGCCAAACGTAAACATGGTATTTCTTCGTGAGATCAAGCAAGAACTCTGCGATTCCATCGACGGCCGACAGATTCTTGAAGTTGGAGGCTGTGGCCTTCATGTTGTGAACGGTGTGTTCAAAACTGGACATGCGACAACAGGGTTGCAACTCGTAGAATATCTCTGGGCTATGTACAATTCGTTCAAATGCGTACCCACCTGACGCATGCATTACCGAGAGCAACATCTACCCTTTGAAGTTTTGTGATGTGCGGTGGCTTGAAAACGTGCGTGTAATTTGGAGGGCCCTTGAGGTTCTGCTGTACCCAAAGGTGTACGTTGAGTTATGTCGAAACGAGAACATGCGACCGACTAGCGCCAGTTACGGCGTGGTTGAAACAGCCATCCATGATCCTCTGCTGCCTGCAAAGCTAACCTTCATGCTTAGTGTTGCGGAGGAACTGCAGCCGTTCCTGGCTCAGTTCCACAGTGATTCGCTGATGTTTCCATTTCTCGGAACAGCGTTGGAAAATCTTCTGCGATCGTTAAAGAGTAAAATAGTAAAGAAAGAAGTGATGATGGCCGCGGACAGTCCGCTGAAGTTGATAAAGGTGGACATGGACCAACCAGCAAACGTTCTTGCAAAACCCAAGATTGACTTTGGCTTTGCGACGAGGAATGCACTCCGAAAGGCCCTGAAACTGTCAGATTTGACTATCCTCGCATTCAGAAGGGACTGCGCCATTTTCCTGAAAAACAGAACATCAGTGGATGATTGGGGCGGAAGCAGATCATGCTTTGCGGTCGTACAAGCATGTGTGCTCTTTAGCCTCTACACAGGCAGCACTGAAAAGTTCTGACAGAAGCACGCAGCGGCTTGACGCCTTTTGGGCAGGCGTCTGTGGCTTAAACAAGGACTTATTCCCTTTTGCCAAGATGATTCTCTCTCTTTCGCAGGGAAATGTGTCTGTTGAGTGGGGATTTTCCATCAACAAGGACTTTCTTGTCAAAGATAAGAAAGAGCAATCTCTGGTCGCGCAGTGAATCGTCTACGACGCCGTGTCGTCGGCTGGAGGAGTTGTCAGTGTGCAGCTGACCAAGAGGATGCTTCAAAAGGTGCATGGGGCAAACGCGCAGTGGAAGGAAGAGCTGGACAGGATGAGAAAAGGAAGAGCCGACACATTGAGGAATCGACAGGAAAAAAAAATGTGCCGCTGCCGCTTTGAAGGAGCTTGAGCTCATAAAACAGAAAGTCGATCTTGGCTGATGCCAAGATGGAGGTGTCCCTCATTCAAACCAAAATAAACTCTTTAAAGCAGTGAAATACTGGAGAACGGTGCTCGAGCTGAGAACGTGGCAGTACGGTTTTACTTTTTTTTAATATTTTATTCGCTGTGAATTTTACTAACCACTCCGTTCTGTTTTCTTTTTTAATCGAATAAAAGTTACTCGTTACCTTATAAACTGTATTATGTCTTTTTTTTTTTATTTTAGAACATGCTTGTTAGAGAGTGACAGCATCTGGCAACATGGTGTCAGCCCATCTTGACCTAAAACAAAGTTCTGTGTCACTCAGGGAATTTTGCAGAAGGACTCAGGAAAAACCTGGAAAACTCTGGGAATTTGAAAATGTCAGCTTGGTAGACACCCTGGGAGCAGTACGAGCAGAACTGATGCCCGGATGAAATTATCGGCAAACTCCACTCAATTATTTCTTTACTCGGTAAAGCTGCCATGGAATGGTCATAACCAAAGTTAGTTTGATTAAATATATGATCCCAGTGTTCCTCGGTGTTCCCGTTCACCTTCAAGGCTGCTGGCACTGTTTTATTGGATCTGTTGCTTTTATCAAACTGCCGATCATATCGAATGTTTCTGCCATCCCATGTACTTCGTTATAATGAAGGATTGCTGTATAAGAAAACCTAACAACTTATCGACTACGATACTACAAGCCTTTAGTCCACATTCTTCCGGTGCACCGGAACCCAGTGTCACGATACTATCTTCTTCGTCTAACATGGCCACCATGACCTGCGTGTGTCTGTCTACAGGATAAAATTTTAACTGCCTTTCCTATTTAAATTTAATTAGTTGTCTTTAACTCCGTAGGCACGTAAATGCCACTAAAACATAATGAATCTAAACAAAGAGTAAGGATCCATGAAAGCTGGGACAAGACCCACAATTCCCATTGTATAAAAGAAAGCAATTGCAATGCAAATATGGACAAACTTAACAATTAAGTGCAATAAAAATAAAATGGTGTCGCATCTTTTTTGAAATTGTAACCTGTTTGCATTGGCTCTTGTAATGACTTATTCTCTGATGTATGAAGAGATATTCTCTGGGTGTCTGGCACCTTCATCACAGCACAGCTGCATGGTATGTCCCTTTTCAGGGCATCTGAGGAAACTTCTCGTGAAGCATGTTCCAGTCAACTACAACAGTGATATCCAAGAAAAACAGCACCTGGTGAGGCTGCTACAGACCATGTTCCTGCACAACGAGCAGCTGCTCGACGAATATGCCGACTCTGACCGTGAGTCGACATCAATTTGTTCTCTCTCCTAAAAACATGTTGTGCTCTGCTTCAGGTGCAGTCCTTTGCCTGGTTACGCAGTATTTTCTTGTCGATTATTCGTCTGATACTGGGAAACTGGTGAAAAGGTTATTATAGTTTGGCAAGCAAAGAGAGGGGGTTGCGTGTTTAACGATGTCTAAACAGTGGGGGTTTGCAAATGGTGCCTTCAACACATCTCTAACTGGTGCTCCACCTTTTCTGAAGTGCTGGGCGTTGCATTCTTGAGGCGTTTTGCATTCTTTGCCGTCTTAGTCTCGCTTTCGCATTGCCACAGCTACCAAAAGTTGCCACGTGACAATTAAGAATGTTTATTTTTCTGGAATCTGGCAACTTGTATGGGCCTTATTAATGACAGGTTGCAAATCTCCAGTTGTAGTATGCCTTCTAAAAAAAAGAATTAAAAAGTTGGGGAATTTTTGTTAATGAAGCAGCTAATTGCTTCTTTATGCTCACGTCCTTACGTCCGCCGCTGTCGATAAAGTTATTCTGTAGGAATAACTCCTTGATCTTCAGTGTACTTTTAGTATATTTTTCGTCTTAGAAAGAAAAACGCCTGTTACACGGTATTCTGGCCACTTCTGGCCGTCGTGACGGAGAGCCGAGAACACTTCTGGTTCGGGTATTGTTTGCATGCTTTTAAAGGGCAACATCACCACTATGTTTTGTGTGTTCAGCAATTCAATCGTTCTTTTGTTGTGTTTTCTACTTCCACTGGCTTCTTGAAGTGCTGTAATGTTTCTCAATTGACTGGGAAACTGCTGTGGCAGATCTCCGCAAAATGAAAGATGCAGCGAGCCACGGCCGTTAAGCGGGGACAGTCTTTGTCACGCGTCCGTGACACATTCGACTCTTCCGGAAAGCAAAGAAACTTGATTGAACGAATCGGACTTGAGTTCTTATGCAAATAAAGGATTGATTGAAATAGTCATTAATATTTGCCCACACATAGCATTGTATTTTAGCCTGAGCCCGGGTTTTCATTAAACACAGACCACTGACACAGACCAATTTCGTACTGCGTAAAATATTCTATAATTAGAATAATAGTGTTTATAATCTTTTTATTATTATTATTTGGCTTTAGAGCAGAAGCCTTACTGACGTTTATTTTCGGGTGCGTGCGAGCTTGTAAATGGGCGATTTATGTGAGTGTCCCTAACGAACTCCAGCAAAAACCCACGGACAAACTGAAAAAACAAAAAGACTTAAATTTTTATAGTTTGTATCAAAGAAGGACTTAAAATCTTTTCACATGGAACCGAATCCCAGGATCGGTTCCACAGCACGCTTACAAACGTCAATTTCAAAGTTCGAGAGCCAGATTTTTCTTTTTGGCATGCAATAAAGCATCTGTCTGTGACATGATTAAAGCAAGACGTGAAACAGCATGAAACCATTGGCACCATCTTTTCGATAATAATACTTGCCCACGCCATCAAACACAACAGCGCTCGTGTGTGTCTGCCCAAACATAACAGTTTGAACAAATGGGATACGTCCCCAGCAGTGTCGCGCGATCGTAGCGAGTCAGACGTGAAACTAGTTTTCTTACCTTATTGCCTGGGATCTGACATCTAAAGTAGCCTTTTGACATCCGCATCCGCATCTGCAACTGTATCCACGTGAATATCATTCACGGGATTGCCGTGGTAGGTCGACGTTGTCACAATCGTAATATCTCCACTCATCAAAAACACAACGCGTTTATGCCGCGACGGCTTTGTCCCAATTCCGATATCTCTACTCGTCGTCGAAAACGCACCACTCACTTTTTCTGGAGCACGATCAAGCAAGAGCTTTCACACCCTCCTTTAATTGTACGTCCAACGTGTGCAGTGTAGTTTCGCTTTGGCCAGCTCGAACACTAATGATGACGATGCGCAGTTGGTAAAGCCATGTTGCGCTCGCAAACGCTCTCTTGTGCACGAAAAACACGAAACAATTACGCGTGTCGGCTGATTTGTGGGTGTCTAATTTCGTTGAATGTCACACGTGTACACAAGTTTCCACTGCGGCATTGGGTAAGGCCACATGATTTTCGCCACAAAGGCCAAATAAAACTAGACGCGGTGCTTTTTCTTAGTGCCTTATGGTCCAGAAACACACGTCGATCTATCTTGCATCCAGTTCTCAACATACCTTTCTAGATTTTCTGCCTAGAAAGATTTAAGAGACGCATTGCTCATTCTTGCTCATTGAAACATACACAAGAAGCTGGTCAAACGTAAGTTATCTCGGCCACAGGAAGTTCCGCCATTGCTTGTTTATGTAATGTTTTTGTAATGTAATGTTTTATTTGCTCAGGAGAGCCGCGGCACCGCAGAAAGGCAAAAGCCCGTACCAAGGTGGCCCGCGGTGCCATGTCTAGTGATGGTTTATGTTTACCTTGGAATGCAATGTATGATGTATATGAAGAATGCTGCAAATTGATATAGGCCCCGCCTTGTGACACAACTTAGGTGCCTTTGCCGTCCGGGTTCACTTGTATTTCCATCCTTTTCCAATGCCAATTCAATTTTGGAACGGGAGCTGTCCAAATGCATTTTATGTGCTGCATCACATGTCGGTCCTGACTCTGATGATAATGGAGGAACAAATCTGGAAATGGGGAGGGCCATAGCCTCTCGTGTTCTGCCGTAGTTAGCACCAGTTTGGAAAAAAAGAAGGTTCTTGAATATTCACATACATATATCTGGGGTGGCTGTTGAAGGTTGCCTGTGTTCCTTGTTGGTCCATGTAGGTTGAACGCTGGAGTTTAAGCGAGTGCTCTTTTTCCTTAATTACTCGTTTTCTGCAGTGTTGCAGGTCCTCTGTCGGATCCAGAAAAATTTGTCGCCCAAATGCATGTTGTACAGAGACGTGGACTGCTGCCTCCGTACAATACTAGCACCTGCCTACAGGGAGTGCAGGCAAGTGTAGAAAAAACTGATCAACTTGCCCTTCCTTGGCTCCAGGTGATGCCTGTGAATGCAAGGTGCACATGACACACAGTATGGTGCTTCTCTATTTGTACTTATCTATGCAGCCTATGTTGCACAAGCTGAAATGAGGTGGCATACTTATGTTCGAGAAAAGGTCAATTCCATTGAGGACTGAAATATCGCATGTACCTGGTGTGAAAAATCGGCAAAAAAAATGTATAGAAACTGCAAGCAGGGCAGATACAGCTGAGAGACAACAGGAGCAAACTCGTTGACAAACAGAGAAGAATTAACATTTTGTCCATTTAAGTGTTCAATTCGACAGGTAAAACATGTTCCTTGGCCACTACTTTGTCCCGTGCTATGTTAGTGCAATGCCTCACCAAGTGCTACATTGAGATTGATTTTCATTAGAAATCCGGTCCAAATGTTATATCTCCCTGCCACTCCGCATTGAGTTATATGTAGGGTGACTAGACGTCTCGTCTTGGCTGGGACAGTCCCGTTTCTGAGGTCCGCTTGTGCCGTCCCGTCTTTTTTCCCAATAAAATATCATGTCCCGTTTTTGCAGAAGTGCATGCTTTCAAAATTGGTACAAAGCGAGGTGAAGCAAACCGAAACTGGGCCTACTCGTTACAAGTATATTTTACAAAAAAATAACTGTAGGTACTTTAAAATATTTACCCAGAGAGTAAAATTTAGAACTGCTCTTGCCCACAAACAGATTCCAAATGGGTGCATGGAACTGAGCTGTGAGTGTGACTGTTCTAGGGCTTAGTGCAATATGGGTAAGGTTTTAAAATAGGACCAGTTATTTCATTAAATTTGTTCTCCCAATGTCAATCTTTAATCCCCCCTCCCCCCCCTCAGGCTGGGATGTCCCGTTTTCTACCTTGAAAAATGTGGTCACCCTGGTTATATGGAACCCAAAGTTTATGATATTTGCCTTCACGATCAGGAGTCAATATAACTGTTACCTAGAGCTTTCAAATAGCTTATTTAGGTCTTTCGAAAATGGACAGACCAAAGAGTGTTTTCTTCCCTTTGGAAGTGGGTTAGGTCTAAATTTTTGTATCTGACTTCTACAAACTTGCAACACGCTCGCAATAATTAAAGCTTGGATATTTCAGGGTTCTGGTTACTTCTAACAAATTTCAAAATATAGGTTGTCCTGCTATGTTTTTAATGTATTTATGAGCCGGTTAATTTGAACAACATTTTTGTGTAGTTCAGATTTTGTCTTCGTGGCCCCATTGAGCACGCTTCTTTCCGAGCACCAGTGCGCTGTGGGGGATCAACACTCCTTTGCAGTGCACCGGTGCTCTCCAAGGTCGTTTTCTGCGGTGCACCAGTGCTCCGTAAGAAGCGCACTGAACATGGCTAATGCAGGGGACTCATGAGCAATGAAAACGGGCGCTGTGCAGCAGTTTTAATAGTAACTTGCGCAGACGCTATGACATGCCTGCATGGCGTTGATCCACGTCACAGCATCCGCGAAAGTTGCCATGGTTACTGTCGCACAATGCCCATTTTCATCGCTCGTGTCTACTGCTTCAAGGGTCACTGACAGGGTATTTATACTCACTGAGGTTTTTAGTTGTACATGACTTTTAAGAGTCCAACTACCCAGAACAGAATTCATGGCTCGAAATTCGGTTTCTTTCTGCCCGAAAACCGCCGATAGAGAACTGGCCGGTTTGAGTTGCGTTCACTTCCTTCTCCATGGTCACGGGCCGTTTTCTAAGGTTTAGACACAACCACCAAATTCAAAAAAGTCGTGGGTAATTGAAGACACACACTCAGTATTAAAAATAGAAAAAAATATTAAACCCATTTTTTGTGGCTTCGAAAAAGCTGCAAACACGTTATTGAGAAAAAAAAGTAGCACGGAAAACCGGAAGCATTCTGTGTGTTCACTGCGTAATTCTCAGCATGGTGTCACATCGCGTATCATGGGACTCGCGAGCTGGATGGCGATGGCGGCGGACGACTTGCGTGGGACCTTTACCTCAAAACTGTCGTTCTCAGTACCGGCAAATCTGTCTTCCCTCAAAAGATTAATTGGACCGATCAAAACGATTAAGATTCATTCCGTACGACACGTCCGACCACCAAGTTGATTTGCACAAAGACGTTGCCGAGCCGTCGCCCCTTCTCCTGGCTGAAGACATCGCTCGTCTTGCGAACACGAATTCGTAAGAGCTCGAAGAATGCGCAAACGTCAAGCGCGAAGTGCGTACTTTAAGTTGAATAGGCCAGCATATGATTTCTTTACTAGATGCGAATGTGGCCAATGTGTGGTGCTGCCTGACTTCAAGCCTAGGGAGTGCCTTTGCTGCAGGGAAATTGGCAGCAAACTTTCCGACCTTCAATCGACAAGCTGCATTACTACGAACAAGCAGTTCCCCCTCCTCTGCCTGAACATTACGTTGCTAAAAATATTGTACTTAGAGCTCCACGATAGGAAGCTGCCTATGCCGAAGGACACATCCCCCAAGTCTATGTTGTTACGAAGTGGATATTTTGCCGGCAGCCGGCAAAACCTGAAAAAAGATTGCCGGCAGTTGTCCTCTATTGGGTCTCGTATAAAATGAGTTGTCAAAACGACTATTTATAGCTGCAGAGTAGCCCAGTGCAAAGGTGTCCGCTTCACACGCAGCGGACCCAAGTTTGATCCTGAGTGTGGCATAATGTTGTTTTTTTTTTTTGTCAAACATTTCACAATATTTATAAATTTCTCTTTTACAATTATCACTGAAAAAAACTAATGTTGTGGACGAAGCGTCGCTGAACTAAATTTTATGGGTCTCTCTTTTTTAGCACCTGCAAACTCGATGCAGTCACTTTCCATAAGGAACATATAAATCGGGTAGCGTCCACTTTCCGAGGTGCCACTGTTCTGCAGAGCCATTGGTCCTGATTCCGTTGATTTTTCGGAAACTTGTGCAGACTCTGCTGCACAATGCCACTTTCAGATGTAGAACGTGTGAGGCAGCTTTCCACTCAACATCTTGGGGGCATTCTTTTTGGAGCTGATCACGGGCATTCACCATGGGCACTCACTACTCATTTCCAACTCTTCAGTGTACAAAACAACTCATCTTGAAGTGCAGAACAGCGAGTGGAACAAACATACCTGCAAAGCAATCGCACGGCAAACGGTACCCGCAATGCGTGTCAACAATGTCAACTGCTGCGCACAACAAAACAAAGCAAACAAAAATTTAGAAAAAAAAATGTGGTTGGATATAGCTACATGATTTCCGGCACTCTCTCCTCTATACTTCTCCGACCTCCGTGCACAGGTCTCGGTTTCGGTTTCCAGCAGTTGCGTTTCTTGGATTTATTAATATATGTGACTCTGTAGCAAAATACTAAATGGCTAGTCTTCTGACACCATGTTGAATCGCGTCGTCGCCATGCTCCAATTCAAGACCATAAATTTGGGCTCTGCGCACGCCCCGTGTGCAACACGTAACGCTAACGCAAACACACAGTGCTTGCGTTCGCTCTACGCAATACTAAAACTCACTACTCTTTCACTGGTTTGCAACGCCAACAAAACATGCTGCTGTGAGTGGAAATGCAAGCGGGTAGGCATTCTTCCGAACTGCAAAGACTGAGATTGAAAAAAAGTATGGCGCGTAAAAGTTATAAATGTTCTGGTAAAATTGGTAATTAAAAAAAAAAAAAGGGAACAGAATCTGTTTGTTTGTTTGTTTGTTTGTTTGTTTCTTTCTTTCTTGAAGGGGGGGTGTCATTTGGTTCGGAAGGATTGGCGGTGACTGGAAGTTCTGTCGATTGCCAAAAGTCGCGACCTTCATAGCACCATATGCTTTACCCACAAGTAATGTAATCTTACATGGATATCTCAGATTAGCTCGAATGTTTTCATTGACTTTGGACTTTTTATTTGATAACTTGTTAGTTAAAAATACTGCTATGACACCAGTGATGATAATTTGTACAATTTTGATTGCCATACTTGTTTGCACATTTGAAATTAGATTATAAGGAACAAATTACATTAGAGCTTGGAGAACTATGTAATTGTAATATTATTATTAATACAAATTGTGGCAATGTAGGCAGGTCTCTTTTTGTTTTCTTTTTAGCATATGAAAAACTGACATCGTTATCAAGATAAACAGTCAAACACTGTATGTAATATAAAGTCCTATATGTCACGCATTGCTTTGAAAAACACACACTTCTGCTCTCTGACTAGACCTGTGCGCCGCCGCGCCGCGCCGCCGCCGCCGCCTGTTTTGCTCTCGCCGCCCTGCGCCGCCGCCGGAATCCCCAGAGCCAGCACGCCGCCGCCGCCGCACAATAAACTCGGCGCGCCGCCAACGCCGCCATCGCTTTTTTTTTTTTTTTTTTTTTTGGGGGGGGGGGGGTATTGGTGTTTTTTTTTTTTTCTGCTTCTGTATGAGTTTTACCTACTATATTAAGCATAAAAAATGAATAGGTACACTGGTGTCTGTATGCTTTTTTCCTTTCATTTTTACTCCTGTAAATATATCAATAAATGTAGAAGTTCCATAGAAAACGGAGACACGGAACGATAAAAAAACGGACAAAACAACAAGTCTCAAACACAGTTTCTAGTTTATTTGAACAACGAACGTTGTTACATATACCTCGAAACCCTCACCACCAAAAAGGAAACACCTCCTCTTCACTAGGTCACCGAGAGCCGTACATTCAGACAGAACCCATATGACCAACCAGCCACCCTGATGACCTCGCTTGAGGGCTGACCAGCCACATGCGATAACAGGCAACTCCAGCTCCAGCACAGCCCTTACAATTCTTAGAAAACGCATAAAACAAGAACTTATAGAGACACACACAAAAAAAAAAAACGCTTCATATCATTGTTTAATGCCAAGGACGGTGTGCTTACACAATTACCAGAGGTCAAAATACGCATGGTCTCCCTCAGAACTCTCCTACCACTGCTGATTGTTGGGCGAGTTGGTATT